CCATGATCTGTTATTCTAGGATACTAGATATCTGTGTGACTATTGTATGTGTATGTGCTTGTATGCTTACGGGGCGAGGCCCAGTGGTTATTCTGTATGCTATCACCAATTATTCTTATATGATTTGTATGTGGGCGGGGCCCGTTATGAATGGTTGGGCGGGGCCCATTGTACTCCTTTCGGGCGGGCCCGTTACGCGAGTTTGGGCGGGGCCCGTTATAGTCTTTGGGCGGGGCCCGTTATGCGAGTGCCGGCGGGGCTCGTTACAGTCTTCGGGCGGGGCCCATTATGTGTTTATTATGTATAGTACGTGGTATTTTGGGGAACTCACTAAGCTTTGTGCTTATGGTTTTCAGTTTATGTTTCAGGTACTTCCAGTTCCAAAGGGAAGAGCTCAGGATGATTGCAGAGCACACACCACCTCGTTCCGCATTTTCTTGATTTACTCTGATGTGATATGATGATTGATACATTTGTTTTCTTTGGATTGGTATGATGATGCTTTGGGATTCTGGTTTTATTAATTTAAAAATGAAAATTTTGGGTCTTATTTTTTTGACGTTTCAGTTTTTCATGTAGATCTGGTTTGGAAGAAAGGATGATTGTGATGGTGGAATTGGTGAGTGGTGGTGGCGTGAGGTAGTTAGTGGTGGTGGTGGTAAATTTTGTGTTTGCCTTCTTTAAATATGCAAATTAGTGTCTAATGGATTCTATTATGTTATTTTGTAAAATTTATGTATTAAACTAAAAATTGACTGTTTTAAATTATATATTTTATACAAATTTTGTATTAAAATATGAATAAATGTATGCATCAATATAATCAATTATGTATTAGTGAATTAATATGTTTATTAAACTGTGAATATATCTTATACATGATATAATTTTTTTTAAAAATGTACAACTTAGAAAAAAGAAAATTGAAATTGTCAGGGCATAATTCTATATTTTTTTACTAAATTTTTTTATATTTTGGCTGGAAAAATAAAAACTATTACCAAAGAAATGGGAGAAAAATGTTTGTTATGTTAAGGTGTGAATACAACCAGACAATACTGAATTTTAATGATAATCCGGTGGCGGTCCGATGATGGTCCGACGGTGGTCCGAAGACAAGTGCCAAATAGTTTGTAAGTATGGAATGAATAAATTTGATTAATACAATACAATATAATATTGGATTTGTCCAAAAATGCCCTTAACATTTTTGGGTTCTCATTTTAACCACTCCATATATATATATATATATATATATATATATATATATATATATATATATATATATATATATATATATATATATATATATATATATAGAATTAAGTTCACCAGCAAACTCGTTTTAAAGGACCGAACGAACAAACGTTTTAATAAACTAAACATGCTCCAACTGTAGTGACTAAAAAACATGGTTTGGCATGCTGAATTAAAGATTGCACCATGAACATGGTGATTTGGGTGTTCAAGAGATGTATTGAATATGTATGGTGTTACAAAAAGGACATAGATCTACATCTACATAAATAACACACACTCACACACTCAACTTTTACACCTCTCAAGCACACCTCTACAAGTGGTATGAACCCACCTTATATAGAGGTGTTTACATGTCTCTCTCTCTCTCTTACTCTCTATCTCATGTCAAAAGGGTAATGTACCACATGCAAGTGGGTCTATAAAAGTCAAACATTTACAAAGTCAATCATGAATAACTTTGTACCCCAACATTCTCCCCCTCAAAGTTAGGAATGGATGACCCACTTAAAATCTTCCAAAATCGAGCAAATACGCGATCCGAGCCTCAAGGGTGACACATGTCGAAATGAACTTCAAATCCTCAATTCTTCAATGGTTCTTCAATTTGGGCTCTAGTATGTGAGACCATACAAACCAAGCATCAACGAATGATCAAGAGCTTCTCAAACTCGAAATAATCACCCAAAAGTTGAGCATAAAAACACACCCCGAAAATATTCAATAAAACTAAATCCATTTCGAAACGAAATCACTTCCAAACTTCCAATTGCATCATTTCGTGTACTTCAAAAATTCAAGGTCACTTCGGTCTTCAAATCCGTGTAATATGAAAAATTCAAGTTCGAATTTCCATATAAATTTCTCCCCCTCTTTATAATCGAAATTTGATTATAAAACCTTCAAGGAAAGAGAACGTGCTCTATTCGGAGATTTTCGTGTCAAAACTCCCCCTTAACATGTGACATAAACTTTGTGCTTCAATCCGGAAAACCGAAAAAATCTTCAAATTTTAGCTTCGTTCACGGACCTCCTTTGACAAAATTTCTCAAAATTGGGTAGAAATTGTCAATTTCAAAATTCTGCAGTGACCCGGTGCGCCCAAAACAGCCAAAAATGCGAAACTCTCCCCCTTTTCCGAAGCTAGGTAGAAAGCGTCAATTCACATAAACTGTAGGGGCCTGAAATGCTAATTCTTCAATTTTTCAGCAAAAACAGACCTTTTTCGAAATTGGGCAAAAACTGTCAACCTTTCGAAACTTCAATGACTGATTTCGAAAGTTCCGCCTTTTGTCCTCCAAACATACGAAAAATACCCCAATTGACGAAGTTGGACAAAAACTGCCAAACATTCGAAAGTATAGGGATTGCTTACGAAACTCTTCTCCTTTCTTCAAAACTAACGAAAAATTGCCTATTCGTACAAAATTTTAAAATGTGTCAAACTGTCGAAACACCAGGGGCTGTTGTCGAAAATTCTTTATTTCCCTTCAAAACTAACGAAACTTTTATCCAATTGTCGAAAATTTGGAAAAAGTGTTAAACAATCGAAAGTTTAGGGGCCATTTTCGTAACATTTGCCTTTTGCATTAATTTGTCGAAATTTTCTCCTAACTGTCGAAAATTTGGAATATGTGGCAAACTCTCAAAACTTCAAGGGCCATATACGAAACTTTTTAAGCTTTCTTCTTCCCTTCGTACGAAACTTCATCCCTTCATACGAAATCATCTGCCCATATGAACGAAACTTTTGAGCACGATTTTAACGAATATTTTTCTCTCTCCCCTTCGTTAGATTCAATCAGAGCACCAAACCAACAAAATTTTTTCCACTGCCATTTTAACGAAAACGAAGGCACACGAAGCCTCTGAATCTTGTCTGAATCATTCAACCACTGAATCAAGATCCAAATAAAAAAAAACTTTCGTTCGTTCAACAGCAACTCATCATCAAGAAATCTGAACATTCGTGCTTTAGCCCCAAAATCAAACTCATAGATACGAAAATCTCCAACACAAACTTTCGTTTTCCAGTTCATCAACATCAACATTCAATCAACTAACGAACATCAAAACGATTCAATTGATTTTTCCCAGTTCGTTTGTCAAGTATCGATTTCACAGCCTTCGTTCTTAACGTTTGTCTCATGTCGACTCCAAAATCCATTCACCTTAAACCCATCTGTCGACCATCGATCCCAAATCAAAAATCATTCAGGAACCCTTCGTACATCAACCCAATCGACTAATTCTCCAATAGCGAACCATTCGATTGTTAACCTAAGCATCTCGATTCCAAATCTTCGTACATCAACACAATTCTTCCCAAATCAAAATTATCGATCATCACACCAAAGGCTTCAATCCTAAACCCAGTTGACATCAAATTGTCAATTTCCGGTACATCATTCTTCGTATCAAGCCATTAACAAACATCGATTTCTTGACCCATCGACTCTTCAAAATCGAAATTTTCACAGACAAATTTGAAGAACCAGATGCAATATACCAAAATCAATCGATCGAACTTTGACTCCAAAAAGTCAACTTTCAAACCAATTCCAATTCATCAGCCTTTGAAATCATCAATCGATTCATGCAGTTCATCAACATAAAACCAAATCAACAAAATTTACTTCGATTCTTTCATCTAGTTTAACGCTAGCAAATTAATTCGAACAACAACATCGATCCTGTCAATTTGAACTCAACTCGAACTACGATTCTGAATCAATAACAACGATCGCTTGACTCAAACAACAATATCAGTTTTAAAACATCATTCAAGTTGATTTTAGTTTTCAATCGAATCAGACAATATCGATTTCAAGAGCAACTTAATCATAATTGATTTTATGATTAGACAAATTAAAGAAAATCAATTCATAAGTGAAGATTCCCATATACTTCTAACCGATTAGTAAGAATTATTGAAACGGAATCAAGAACGAGTACAACTCAGTTATACGCAAGATGAAGAACAGTAAATCATCGAATCGTATATCTGATATTGATGAACGGACTTTTTGTTTTAAGAAATTGGATCAAAAACAGATGTATTGGGCTCCATGAATTGGATATGAACAGTAATGATCAACAATTTGGGCTTAAAATGATGAAGAATGAACAGTAACACAAAATTTTAACCGGGCTCAAACATTCAAATATGAACAGTTACAGAAAGAATTTGGGCTTAATTTTTTATCTAAGCAACAATAAATGGATCATACAATGGCAGGAAAAGGAATTTTGATTCATTGAGACAAAACGATCAAACAATAAAAAACGCAACGCTTGATTTCAATGAAATTAAGAGAGATCATAGAGAGAGACTCACCAAAAATGCTCCAATTGTGACAAATTTTGCCAAACCGAGAATCGTTCTTCAAAAAATCACGTTGATCTTTGAAGACCCGCTCTGATACCAATTGTAGTGACTAAAAAACATGGTTTGGCATGCAGAATTAAAGATTGCACAATGAACATGGTAATTTGGGTGTTCAAGAGATGTATTGAATGTGTATGGTGTTACAAAAAAGGACATAGATCTACATCTACATAAATAACACACACTAACACACTCAACTTTTACACCTCTCAAGCACACCTCTACAAGTGGTATGAACCCACCTTATATAGAGGTGTTTACATGTCTCTCTCTCACTCTCTATCTCATGTCAAAAGGCTAATGTACCACATGCAAGTGGGTCTACAAAAGTCAAACATTTACAAAGTCAATCATGAATAACTTTGTACCCCAACACCAACACTTCATTCTCTTCTCCATCACCTTCATTTCCTCCTCCTTGGCAACTGGGACTCCATACCCTCTCCTACGTCACTGGAGCATCTCACTAGGTTGCATCCTATCACTAATTGTCGGCGCTAACAAAGGGATCGCTGATGAGCTCCGTTTCTTCAAATCAGTCGGCGCCTCCGCCAAAGACACCATCTCCGACATCGTTGGCGTCATCGTTGCAGATCTCGTTCTTTGTGTTTGTAACGTCTTGTGTTTCTACCTCGATAGATCCGTGAAACTAGGGCAAACACGAGGAATTTAGATAAGAACTCTGTTCTACATGTCTTCCTTAGCTTCTTCAGTTTCGAGTTTCTCGTCTCCGACCATCCAATCACAGTGATGGCGACCATGGTTTTTATCCATTTGGTTTTCAATCGATTATCACAAAGCTTCGCTATTCGTTCGGTTTCATCTTCATCGCACATAGAAGAACAAAAGCGGTGATGGCCACGAGGGGGAAAGGAGAATGGTTTGATTTAGATAACTTATAAGGCATCATTACTCCCAATATATCCATCAATAACCATTCAGGTTCTCATTTCCTTTTAATCCTTGATTTAATTATATATTTGTATATCGGTATTAATCAGAAAAATTGGAGGAAAAATATTATTATTGCAGTTGTGCTCTCTCTAGGTTAGATCTTCAACCTTTCGAATTAAGATGAACTAGGGTCATATCTGATATTACTTATTGAAAATTTATGATATGATATGGATGTTCTTTTCACGGGCAAAATCTGGAAGATTGAAAAGGGTTTCACGGGAAATTAGGTTTCTAATTGGGTTGATGGGTTTGATAAAAGGATTCCTATGAATTTTTGACCTCGTTTTCTTGCTTGATTGAAAAACAGATTTTTAGTAACCCATAATAAGAATGAGGGTATTTTACATACGTATCCCAAAAGAAAGCATTTCCCAGAATTTAGAAAATAACAACGATGAAGAAACTGTTTCTGTTGCATATACGGAGGAGATCATTGACGAAATTAGATATTTGGTAACTAGTATATCGTCTTCAACCAACTTGAATTTGGAACACAGAATCGAAGTCGATCCCAATTTCTTCAAACAATGAGATTACTTTCACGATGTTATACCAAGTTCCAGGAAGGGATTTGTTCGCCAAAGAGTCAACCTACTTTCTTGAAGAGTTGTGAATACCACAGACTACCTGCCTCCTTAAAGAGTTAGCCTCATTTTTACATCTCCAAATCCACTTAGCCAAAAAAGCCTAGTTCATCGAAGTAAGGGAACCCATCCCAAACCCACCTTAATCCTTGGGCCCAAGAACCACATCCCAGACCACCCAATTTATTTTATTCTTTTCGTCACATCCACCCAAAGAAAACGACCACGAAGTTTCTCAAGGTGCATGGCAACACATTTAGGAGCAATGAAAAGAGAAAAGAAGAACAAAAGATGTGACATCCCCTAAATTCTCGGCCAGAAAAGACCGATTTATTTTATGCTTTTCAAAACAAAATCAGAGAAATATTTTTAAAAGATGTTGCGGAATTGGTCCCCAAAACAACATATGATAAAAGTTTATCAAAACCCTTCTTTAAGAAGGTATATATTTCCCATATATATATATATATATATATATATATATATATATATATATATATATATATATATATATATATATATATATATATCAAAACCTCGGGATGTCATGTTCCGATACAGATCAAAAGCATAAACAAGACATTATAAGCCTTTCAATAGTTATTTACAACTACTGGCCTATAATCCAAAAATCTCTCATCATCCTCCGACTATGCTCGGGGTCCACTACCTGTAATCATAAAAAGCTGAGTGGGTCAGGCTTGGGAGTCTGGTGAGCATATAGGGTTTTCAACCCACAATAATAATAACTTATTAAGTTCACCAATCAACAATAACCCTGATTACCCATTCCCATTGTCCTCACTTTATGTCCCTAAACACCTAACACAAGGGACTTAGCCTAAGGAATATCATCGGGTTGGATACTACTGCTAAGGGGACTCCTCAGCCATACATGTCCTAAAGGCAACCATGAGGGGGATTGTAGTACACAAATGAACATTTAGTTCATCAACACCTACAAGTTGCGAAATTGCTAGTGTACCACTGGACTGTCTACCCACCGACTATTTTGTCTACCCATGTTCTACCCAACATATTTGTAGATAAAATACATATACAGTTTAAAACTTGTATAAAACATCTATTCAACAGTCACCTCAAATAAACAATTAACATATTTACACATAGCACATCTTTTAAGCTAAATACTTCATATCTATGTGTAAAGTGAAAGTAACTACACACTCACATGATTCGATGATAATCGGGCAGCAATTCGTTTCCTAAAACGTTCGTTTCTAATAAAACCGGGAGTTTTATTGAGGAACCGGGCTCTGCAAAGGTCGGGCTTCGAAACCGAAAAGATAAATTTTCCGGGCTTCACGGGCACTTCGTGGCGTATTCCGAGGGTTATAATTGATACCGGGGCTTCGGGGGATGTTAATATGAAAGAAATATGAGTTTAGGGGCTAAAATTGACACTTTTCCAAAATATACCCGGGAGGTCTCGCACCCTCCTATTTATAGGAGCGAGCCTCCTGATCCAACGGTTGAGAAGGAGCCACGCGTCGCAGATCCGAAGCTCACAGGGGGATGGCTCGCACGAGGGCTGCACGTGCGAAGGCTTGCTGTCCTCTTCTTACTGGACCGAGGTCTAGGTCCGAAGTAGGGATGGTTCGTGGCAGCTTTGCGAGGGTTCGGACACGTACCAAAGGGCACGCGTCAGATTCTTAGTGGACCGCGGCTTCGGACTCGGAAGGATCGCAACACGTCTTCGGATGACTCAGCAGATTTCGGACACGTGGCACGTTCTAAGCGAGGGTGACGTGGCAAAAACGTGACTATGCGAATTTTCTCGATTTTTGTGCAAAAACTTCTAAAATCCATAAATTTCGCATACGAGCTCCGTTTTTGACGTTTTTATCTGCACGCGTAGGTAAAATTACGCTCTACAACTTCCGTTTAGACTTCGTCGGCTAATTTTGACTTTAATTTTTATATTATTATTTTTAACAGACCGGGACAGGAAATCCGTTAAAAATTCATAACTTCTTCATCCGACGTCCGTTTTCGTCAGACTTTTTACCGTTGTGCTACTATTTACGAGACCTTCGATTCTCATTTAGGTCGTGTCGGCTAAAAATCACTCGATCTAAAATTCGAGTTTTTAGCTGTCTACTGCTAAGCTGAAACTTCGAAAAATCATAACTTCCTCATACGAAGTCGGATTTGGGCGTTCTTTTTATTGAACTTCTCGGTTTAACGAATACTACGAGTTTCGTTTAGACTACTAAGGCTAAAAAGTAGTTTATCAAAAACTCACTTTTTACGACATTCGGCACCGTGCCGGTTTGTCGCGAAACTTCGACAGGTCATAACTTCTTCGTTATAACTCGGATTTCAGCATTCTTTATATATCCGTAATCCTTGTCACGACCACTACAACTTTCTTAATAGATATCGGCTTTATCTAATATTTATTTTTGACGCTCATTTTTATTCTTAATTAATTAACTCCTAGTAATTAAGCATAAAACACATAGAATTCACATAATTCCTTTTTCATTTCTTCAAAAGGAGTTACAAAGGTTAACCTAGACTATCACATCAAGATTAATGCCTAGGCTAGAAACACGAGTGTTACAATTCTCTCCCCCTTAGGATGATTCCGTCCCCGGAATCACACATCACCAAACAACTGCGGGTAGCGACTCATCATGTCACTCTCCGTTTCCCAGGTGAGATTTGGTCCATTCGTATGTTTCCAGCGTGCAAGCACTAAATCAACCATCTTGCGTCGCAACTTCATAGTCTTACGGTTAACGATCGCCTCAGGTTCTTCAATCAACCTCTCATTTTCATCCAACCTTAACTCGGAAATTAGAATTATGTCGGGCACATCTCCCGTGAACTTCCTCAAATAACACACATGAAATGTGTTATGAATACCCTCCAGTTCTTCCGGTAATTCTAGTTTGTAAGCTTGATTCCCGATCTTCTGAAGAACTTTAAATGGTCCAATAAAACCTTGGACTCAACTTTCCCCTTTTACCAAATTTTATAAGTCCCTTCCACGGTGAGACTTTAAGTAAAACCGAATCTCCAACTTCGAAGGATATCGGTTGTCTTTTCTTGTCAGCATAGCTCTTTTTTCGATCTTGAGCAGCTAACAACCTTTCTCTTATCACCTTCAACTTTTCAGCAGTCTGATGGACTATTTCAGGTCCCATAAACTGCTTTTCCCCAGCTTCCAGCCAACATGATGGCGTTCGACACTTTTCCCCACACAAAGCGTGATAAGGTGCCATCTTAATGCTTGAGTGGAAACTATTATTATAGGAGAATTCTACTAGAGGTAAGTGTTCATCCCAGTTACCTTGGAATTCTAGGGTACATGCTCTCAGCATATCCTCAAATGTTTGAATCGTTCGTTCGCTTTGACCATCAGTTTGCGGATGGTAAGCTGTACTCAAACACAACTTGGTACCCAATTCCTCTTGTAGACTCCTCCAAAACCTTGAGGTAAAACGACTGTCATGATCGGATACAATCGTTAACGGAACACCGTGTAGCCTCACAATTTCCTTCACATAAGAATTCGCAAGTTTATCCATAGACCATTTCTCGTTAGCGGCTATGAAATGCGCACTCTTAGTTAAGCGATCAACGACCACCCAAATCATGTCGTGACCGTTCCTTATCTTGGGTAGTTTAGTCACAAAATCCATGGTAATGTCCTCCCATTTACCCATGGGTACAGCTAAAGGTTCTAAACTCCCATACGGTTTCTGATGTTGTGCCTTACACACTCAGCCACATACTTAGCAACATCGAGCTTCATCGTTGGCCACCAGTAATAGGGTTTTAGATCCCTATACATTTTCGTACTGCCGGGATGAATCGAGTACATGGTTTTGTGAGCTTCTTCCATCAGAAGACCTCTTACTCCTCCTGTCTCAGGTACCCAAATCCTATCTTTGAATACCTTCAATTCTTGACCGTTTGTATCAAACACCAACGTTTTTCCCAAACGTTCCTCCTTTCGGTCATTTTTTTCCAAAGCTTCCTCTTGAGCTTTCTTTATACTTTCCACAATTGTCGAGATGACTTCAATTTTCAGCGCTCTTGGCCTTCTCTTTTCAAGATTTACCTTCCGACTGAGAGCATCAACAACAATATTTGCTTTACC